TATTTCACCTGATTATACTTGATTCACGCATTTAACATGTACCTATTAAACAATCGGCTGGTAGTGGAAGTTGCTCTGTTTGAATTGGATGAACGTGTTCTATCTTGGGATCCAGGAGCAATCGATCCCATGAGATAACTTTACTTAATCGGGGATTCCTCCATCTGTGCTTTCGAACAACACCTAACAAGTCTTCCTTCATGAATTGCACATTTTTATTTGAGATATTTAACTCTATGCTGTAAATTCCACAAGGAAGTTCTTCCCAGTAGCAAATTTCATTTGCTGAACTTGTAACAACATTAGCCATCTCATTTTCAAGTCCATTCTTTATGAAGTTTGAACCTACAAGAGAAGTAGTTTCACCATTAATGAGACTACAGATTTAATAATACGTCAAGAAAAATTTATCAAAAATAGCTTCATTTTTCATGTTTATTTTGTGCTAGAAAAGCACAAAGGTGCAATTTATTGATATTAGTAAGTGCATTCGAGTGCAGGCCAATGGAGAGGAGTGAAAGCTCCAAACCACTAAGCCACACCTGTATTCATTGTCATATGTTTATACTAGAAGCACTTAAATTAAGACAATATCCAACTAAATAATTTTCCTAGCTTCTCATACTCCCAGAAATCTGTCATCAACATTTTGGAAGATAGATAGTATTCCAAGGATAGTTTATGAGAAACAATTCATCATTTATGTATTGCCATGGCTCCAACATATGCATAGTATTATATAAAGAAACTTCATAAACAAGAACAACAAACCCATCAATTTCCCAAAATTTGAAACCTTGGCAGTCCTCCCTCAAGACGCTTTTCCTGTACTTGAGAACTAGATATAGTAAAACAAGAATCCTTTTTCCTCATTTTATCTTATTGAGTGTCATTTTTTCATTTAATTCTAATAAATTAAGATCAAAATGCCCAAGCCTTTTTAGGTCTACATCTTTCCTTCTTAAAGTCGAATCTAAAACATTTACTCTCCTAACCTGATCATTAGATGGTCGATGTTTAATGTTCCCAAACCATCTAAGACATAACTCTCTCTAATATTGTTTGATCATTAGATGGTCGATGTTTAATGTTACCAAACCATCTAAGACATAACTCTCTCTAATATTGTCTACCACTGGAGCTACACCAACCCATTCATGGATACATTCGTTTAAGAGAATTCATTGCATGGAAATAATGCTAGTATGATGGTAGAATACTCATGCGTGTGAAGGTAGTATGAGATATGTGAGATAGTGTGAGTTATATACCTGAATGGTTTTCTACAAATAAAGGCGGTGAAACTGAAGATAGAATAAATCTAGAGTCGGTGCATGTTGGCCAGTGGACCAGGAGACTTCTTCTACCGAATGCATCTCGACCAAACCACATAGTTTTTGACTTATCCTGAAATTGGAATATTAAGAAAATTTCAACAGGTACAGACGATGAAAAAAGGTTATTAGTCAAATCACAAAGGCCAATATATTCAACTGAGGCACCTGCCAGTAAATGAAAGCCCATGGGCCTTTGATAGTTGAAAGGACATCAGGTATAGATTTCCCATGGTCTGAATTAGAAAATCCATCAATGTATTCATGACAGTCAAAAGAACAGCATGTTTCAAGTTCATGGAGAAGAACTTCCAAGTCATTGCTATCATCAGCAATGTGTATACCGTCAAATATTTCGCCTTCAAATAAAAGGGCCTCAGTTAAAATTGCACAAAAAAAGGCAATTTCATAAATAATGTCAATGTTAGCAATAAAAAAGCAAGCTAATAAGGAAGATAGATAAAGGGATAGCAGCATAACCCAACACTTCCCCTTTTTTTCTATTAGAAAACTATGAAAGCTAGCTTGCAGGAAACTAAATCAACAGATGTTGCTCTTTTAGATGCTAACTCTATGACTCCAC